GGAGTAGTGGCCATTGGTTGGGATGAGTACGGAGTAGTGGCCATTGGTTGGGATGAGTATGGAGTAGTGACCATTGGTTGGGATGAGTACGGAGTAGTGGCCATTGGTTGGGATGAGTACGGAGTAGTGCCCATTGAAAGTATTGAGGGAGGTTTATTATAAGGTATGCTAAGTGGGGATGGATGTCTGTGCAGATTTGGCGATGCACTGGGTGGAGGTGGAGAAAGTAGAGAGTTAAAAGTAGAGAAGAGACAATGAGGACTGGATGACAAGGTATTAAGAGTGACAAAGTGGGCTTTTTTGGCAGCATGGAGGGAGGACTTGTATGTGAAGAAAGCAGATTTATATCAGGTGAATGCTTGCTGAGATTTGGTTTTATGCCACAATCACTCCAGCGCACAACGTTTAAGATTTCTGGTGTGGTCAGTCTGCCAAGGTTGTAATGGTCGGTGCGTGGTAGTTGGTACTTTCTGCGGGTAATTGTTTGCTGTTCGGTTAAAGGGAATAGGTGTTTGAAGATGAGGACACTGTGAAGGTGATGAGATTGTGATCAGAGACAGGAAAGGGGGTGTTTGAGGTTGTAGGGAGTGCAATGATGGGAGAAAACAAGGTCTGATGTATTCCCATCAGAGTGAGTGGAGGACTGTATACATTGTGCTAATGCAAAAGATGAGGTTGGGTTGAAGAGTTGGGATGTAGCCGGGTTGTTTACATTAATGGGGATGTTAAAGTCTCCAAGAATGATAGTGGGTATTTCAGAGGAGAGAAAGTAGGGTAGCCAGGCAGATAAGTCATCAAGAAAGCGAGACACGGGTCCAGGAGGCCGATAGATCACTGCAATCCTCAGAGAAAACAGCCGGATGCAGCAAGTCTCGAAAGAAGAGAAGGATAGAGAGGGAGGGTTAGGGAGGACTTGAAAGGTGCTCAGTGGGGATAGAAGCAAACCAACTCCACCTCCTTTCTGACCACTGGGTCTGGGTGAGTGGGTCCAGAGAAGGCCTCCATGGGAAAGTGCTGTGGGAGAAGCAGGATCTGATGCCTGATGCCAGGTTTCTGTAATTGCTAGGGGTTAAGGGAGCGGGAGACAAAAAGGTTCATGAACGGAGGTGAGCTTATTACAGACAGAGCGGGCATTCCAGAGTGCACACATGAAAAAGGGAGGGTGGTTTTTAGGAGCACAGGGATAGAGATTAAATTGAGTGGATTGCAGATATTCCTGGAGGAAGGAGGGTGCCTGGTGTGGGGGGAGATACTGGAGGACCAGGGTTTGGGGAGATATCCCCTGAGGTTAGGAGAAGGAGGGAGCCTGGTGTGGGGGTGAGATACTGGAGGACCAGGGTTTGGGGAGATATCCCCAGAGGTTAGGAAAAGGAGGGTGCCTGGTTGTGGGGGTGAGCTAGTGGAGGACCAGGGTTTGGGGACATATCCCAGAGGTTAGGAGAAGGAGGGTGCCTGGTGTGGGGGTGAGATACTAGAGGACCAGGGTTTGGGGAGATATTTCCACAGGTTAGGGAAGAAGGAGGGTGCTTGGTGTGGGGGTGAGATACTGGAGGACCAGGGTTCGTGGAGATATCCCCAGAGGTTAGGAGAAGGAGGGTGCCTGGTGTGGGGGTGAGATACTGGAGGACCAGGGTTCGTGGAGATATCCCAGAGGTTAGGAGAAGGAGGATGCCTGTGTGTGGGGGTGAGATACTGGAGGACCAGGGTTTGGGGAGATATCCCCAGAGGTTAGGAGAAGGAGGGTGCCTGGTGTGGGGGTGAGATACTGGAGGACCAAGGTTTGGGAGATATCCCCAGAGGTTAGGAGAAGGAGGGTGCCTGGTGTGGGGGGAGATACTGGGGGGGTTTGGGGAGATATCCCCAGAGGTTAGGAGAAGGAGGGTGCCTGGTGTGGGGTGAGATACAGGACCAGGGTTTGGGGAGATATTTCCACAGGTTAGGAGAAGGAGAGTGCCTGGTGTGGGGGTGAGATAGTGGAGGACCAGGGTTTGGGGAGATATCCCCAGAGGTTAGGAGAAGGAGGTTGAGGAAAGTAAGGTGGGAGCGGGATGCATATGAGTGCACATGCCTTCCTGTCCTGGTGTTTGGGTCAGCAGGTGCATAAAGTATCAGCAGGAAGGTGATGAGAGCAGTAGCAGGGATATGGTAGCAGTGAGGGTGAGATGTCAGAAGCTTTGAGGTGGAGCAGAGGGGTAAAGAAATGAGATTTTGGGAACACAGGATAGTAATATGAAAAGGAGGAGTAGAGGCAGCATATTAAACAGGTAGAAGGAGTGGGGCTCAGACTTGTAGGAGATGTTTCCCTGGGTGCTTGCTTGCAGTCCATCCAGCATGCAGTAGAGTTCCTTGTTGTATCTTCCTGCTTCTTCACACTCCTTCAGAAAAATGCCACCCCTGTCTGTGACCTCCCCCATGAGCTGGTCTAAATTTATAGGGAGATGATAAAATGAGTAACTCATCTCCGCCCCAATTAGGAACTGATAAGGATCACATGAATTGGGTGCGGAGACGTTGGTCAAAAAAGACCAGCCACAGACACAGGCCAAAGTCATAAAGGATGATTGATTCTCCGATCACAGAAAGGCAAAAGGAGGTGAGAATCAATCGCCACAACCAGACAAAAATATATAGACGAATTATCCTGAGCTTTGCAGAAAGTCGATGCGCTGTACAGGGACAGTTTACGGTGGAGATGAGACAGCAGCATTTGCTCCAATGTTCCTCCAAGGAAGTTGATTGGTGGTGAATGCATAGTTTTGGGTGGACCTGGTTCTCATCCTAGGCTGCTACCCAGCGCCGGGACAAAATAATCTAGAGCCCAAAGCAAACATGGCAAACTGCCCTCCCCCCATCCTGCAGGATGTATGGGCATTATGTGTCAGTAAAAATCGCTCCCCAGCAAAAAACTCCCAAAAAACCCAATTATAAATTCCCCTCTTCCTAGGACAAATCTGCCCCCTGCCAAAATCCCCCCTTCCAGCACAAATCTTTTCCCCCTATCCCCCAGCTCAAACCTCCTATCCCCAATCCTCTACCCCTCAAATTTCCCCTCCTAGCACAAATCCCCCCCCCCCCCCCCCACCAATCATCTCTACTAGCACAAATCCCCTTCCCCCTCTACCATATCACTTTTTCTAGCACAACCCTCCCCAAATCCCCCCTCTCATCACAAATTCCCTCCTCAAGCCCCCATCCTAGCACAAATCCCCCCCCCCCTCAAATTTCCCCTCTTAGGTCAAATGCCCCCCCAAGAGATCCCTAATAGCACAAATCCCTCCCCTCCTCTAAATTTCCCCTCCTAGGACAGATCCCCTCCAGTCATCCCTTCTAGCACAAATCCCCTTCCCCCTCTACCACATCATTTTTTTCTAGCACAACTCTCCCCAAATCCCCCCTCAGCACAAATTCCCTCTTCAATCCCCCATCCTAGCACAACCCCCCCTCAAATTTCCCCTCCTAGGACAAATCCCCCCCCCCCCCAGTCATCCCTACTAGCACAAACCCCCTTCCCCCTCTACCGTATCACTCTTTCTAGCACAACCCCCCAAATCCCCCCTCCTAGTGCAAATCATCTTCCCCCTCCTTCTCCTAACACGATCCCCCCGAATCACCCCTTCCACACCCCTCATCCCAAATTTCCCCCTCAAGAACAATTCTTACCACCTGCTGCCCCCAAATTCTCCCTCCCAACACAAATCCCCTCCCCCCAATCTCCTCATAGTGCCCCACCTCACATGATACCACAGTGCCCAGGGCAGCTGCCCCTCCTGCCCACCCCTTGTCCCGGCCCTGCTGCTGCCTTCCTGATCATGACAGAAAGGGTGCTCGGATGATAAGCTCTGGGGTGGGTATGGAGGAGTGCCAATCACAAGGGTTCATGTCGCTCAGAGGACTCTGAAATATTCAATGTGTAGGGGTGCAGGCAACGCGTTTCAGGGTCACGTCCTCCATCTTCCTCAGGCCTCGAGCGGGGGATGGCATCAGAATCATGATGAGACACAATAGGAGACCTATGTTATGCCTCAATAAAGACTGTCAAATCCTATCGGCACTACGAACTGCTGGCCGGATGTAAGGGGGAGGCTGAAAAACGTCAAACATAAACGACAACTTGGAGGCATTCTGTAGACCGACCTTCAAAATGTCACTTCCCGCTTGTGTGATTGGCTCAATGATTCTCCCAGAAGTCTGTGCTAAGATACAAGTCAGATTTTAGGCATCCCCTGCAATAAGAAGTTCAGGTTTGGTGAGACCCCCCCAAGGGTTAAATACTTCCAAAGGGATGCAGACCCCGCAGCTTTCCTCATCAGAGTACTGGAAGTGTGCCTGGTGATTATAATGAACCAGACCCCTCCCATTCAGTAACCAGACCCTCCCATTTCGTAACCAGACCCCTCCCATTCTGAATCAGTCTGCACAGGACACGCGGAAACAAAGAGATATTTCTTCAGAAAAGCAAAAGGTCGGAATCTGCCGCAAAGTTTGTTACAATCCCTGCAATGTACAGAGATCACCCAGATGGGAGGGTTTTAGTTATAAAAGGTGCAAGTTTTTTTGGATGCCTTAGATCCCTTCTTCATGATTTTTGCAGTTCATACTGTTGTGAATTGTATGAATCAGTCTGGCAGCGATTTTATATTTGAATGTCGTTGTTCCTCCTTTTAGGCATCTGCAGCTTATGATGATACAACATGTATGGATCACTGTAATGACAATGGTGAAAATGTCGCAGGCTTTGTCCCAATGCCAGCGCTCCGAGCAGCCGCTACCCGCTTACCCCCACGAAGGAGAAATCATTATTGGTGGACTCATTCCAGTGCATGAAAAAAACGGTGAAACAAACGCTGAAATATAAGGAGAAACCTCCACGCAGAACCTGTGAGAAGTGAGGAATTATTTTACTTTTTTTATCCTCCCAAGTAAAAAAAAAATAAAAGACTTTATAAATTTTACTATTTTTTTTTTTTTTTTATAATAATTATACAGTATATTGCCCCAAGTATTGTCGCCACCCTCCAATTCATGTGATTCAGGTGTTCCAATCCCCTCCAATTCATGTGATTCAGGTGTTCCAATCCCCTCCAATTCATGTGATTCAGGTGTTCCAATCCCCTCCAATTCATGTGATTCAGGTGTTCCAATCCCCTCCAATTCATGTGATTCAGGTGTTCCAATCCCCTCCATATCATGTGATTCAGGTGTTCCAATCCCCTCCAATTCATGTGATTCAGGTGTTCCAATCCCCTCCAATTCATGTGATTCAGGTGTTCCAATCCCCTCCAATTCATGTGATTCAGGTGTTCCAATCCCCTCCAATTCATGTGATTCAGGTGTTCCAATCCCCTCCAATTCATGTGATTCAGGTGTTCCAATCCCCTCCATATCATGTGATTCAGGTGTTCCAATCCCCTCCATATCATGTGATTCAGGTGTTCCAATCCCCTCCATATCATGTGATTCAGGTGTTCCAATCCCCTCCAATTCATGTGATTCCAGTGTTCCAATCCCCTCCAATTCATGTGATTCCGGTGTTCCAATCCCCTCCAATTCATATGATTCCGGTGTTCCAATCCCCTCCATATCATGTGATTCAGGTGTTCCAATCCCCTCCCAATCATGTGATTCAGGTGTTCCAATCCCCTCCAATTCATGTGATTCAGGTGTTCCAATCCCCTCCATATCATGTGATTCAGGTGTTCCAGTCCCCTCCATATCATGTGATTCAGGTGTTTCAATCCCTCCAATTCATGTGATTCAGGTGTTCCAATCCCCTCCAATTCATGTGATTCCGGTGTTCCAATCCCTTCAATTTATGTGATTCTGGTGTTCCAATCCCCTCCATATCATGTGATTCAGGTGTTCTAATCCCCTCCCTATCATGTGATTCAGGTGTTCCAATCCCCTCCCAATCATGTGATTCAGGTGTTCCAATCCCCTCCAATTCATGTGATTCAGGTGTTCCAATCCCCTCCCAATCATGTGATTCAGGTGTTTCAATCCCCTCCAATTCATGTGATTCAGGTGCTCCAATCCCCTCCATATCATGTGATTCAGGTGTTCTAATCCCCTCCCTATCATGTGATTCCGGTGTTCCAATCCCCTCCCAATCATGTGATTCAGGTGTTCCAATCCCCTCCAATTCATGTGATTCAGGTGTTGCAATCCCCTCCCAATCACGTGATTCAGGTGTTTTAATCCCCTCCAATTCATGTGATTCAGGTGCTCCAATCCCCTCCATATCATGTGATTCAGATGCTCCAATCCCTTCCAATTCATGTGATTCCGGTGTTCCAATCCCCTCCAATTTATGTGATTCAGGTGTTCCAATCCCCTCCCAATCATGTGATTCAGGTGTTCCAATCCCCTCCAATTCATGTGATTCAGGTGCTCCAATCCCCTCCCAATCATGTGATTCAGGTGTTCCAATCCCCTCCATATCATGTGATTCAGGTGTTCCAATCCCCTCCCAATCATGTGATTCAGGCGTTCCAATCCCCTCCAAATCATGTGATTCAGGTGTTCCAATCCCCTCCAATCATGTGATTCCGGTGTTCTAATCCCCTCCCAATCATGTAACTCAGGTGTTCCAATCCCCTCCATATCATGTGATTCAGGTGTTCCAATCCCCCCATATCATGTGATTCAGGTGTTCCAATCCCCTCCATGGACACAGGTGTATACAATCAAGCCCCTAGGCATGCAGACTGCTTCTACAAACATTGGTGAAAGAATGGGTCGCTCTCAGGAGCTCAGTGACTCCAAGCGTGGTCCCGTGATAGGTGGTCACCTGGGCAATAAGTCCATCCGTGACATTTCCTGGCTACTAAATATTCCACGCTCAACTGTTAGTGGGATTATAACAAAGTGGAAGCAACTGGGAACAACAGCCACTCAGCCACCAAGTGGTAGGCCACGTCACATGACAGGGCGGGGTCAGCGCATGCTGAAGTGCACAGTGAGCAGAAGTCGCCAACTGTCTGCAGAGTCAATAGCTAAAGACCTCCAAACTTGGTGTGGCCTTCAGATGAGCCCAACAACAGTGCGTAGAGAGCTTCATGGAATGGGTTTCCATGGCTGAGCAGCTGCATCCAAGCCTTCCATCACCAAGTGCAATGCAAAGCGGCAGACGCCGTGGCGTAAAGCATGCCGCCACTGGACTCTAGAGCAGTGGAGATGTGTTCTCTGGAGTGACCAATCACACTTCTCTGCCTGGCAATCCGATGGATGTGTCTGGGTTTGGCGGTGGCCAGGAGAACGGTACTTGCCTGACTGCATTGTGCCAAGTGTAAAGTTTGGTGGAGGGGGGATTAGGGTGTGGGGGTGTTCTTCAGGGGTTGGGCTTGGCCCTTAGTTTGAGCACAGGGTTGGCATTCCTGCCTTGCAGCACTAGAGTCCTCCTTGGTTTGAGACCCATTCAAGACACTACCTGCATGGAGTTTGCAGTTTCTTCCTGTGCTTGGGTGGGTTTCCTCACAGACATCCTGGTAGGTTCATTGGCTCCTATCTACATTGTCACCTTACACCTTATCCTTCTTGTTGTGGAAAATCGCACCTCTTTTGTGATCTTCAATTTGCAGGTTCTACTTTGAGAAATATCAGTATGTCCTTGCAATGTTATTTGCCATCGATGAGATCAATTCAAACCCTCTGCTGATGCAAAATGTGACGTTAGGATACGAGATTTATGACTCCTGCTACTCAGATGCTGCAGCTGTGGACAGCGTCATGGGCTACCTGTCCGGGAAACAATCCAAGGTGCCCAACTACAGATGTGTGACAACGCCTCCTAAACTGTCCGCGGTGGTGGGCGACTCTCCATCCTCTGGTTCTGTCGCTATCGCTCGCATACTCGGACTCACAAAGTTCCCTCAGGTAACCGAAAAATGTTTCATGCAGAATATGGATATAAAGGGCATATGCAGGGGTGTATTTACCACAAGGCATATGCCTATGGCGGCATTTTTTCAGGGGGGCAGTGGCATTTTTCAGGGGGGCAGCACTGCTCCCCGAAAGAAGGCATGGAAGAAAGGACACACGCAGCGTGGGGACCAGGTGGGATCTGAGAGAGGCTGCGGGCTGCTTGATGGTGTATGCAGAGCCTGACTCTTGTTCCCGGGGATGTTCGGAGCTGTGAAGGTGAGTGTCTTCTCTCTCGCCGGGGTGGGGGGAGGTTCCCAGTGTGTATGGGACGGTGGTAGTGGAAGGCTCTCTGAAGGCTCTCTCGGTTGTGGCTGAGGTGTGGTTTGTTGGTCAATGCAAGGCTCTTATCGTGGGGGAGGGGGGTGTTTGTCAGTGTCAGGGTCTCTCTGTGGGTGGAGGGGGGGAGCCGATTTTTTTGTGTTGCCTAGGGCAGCACGCAACCTAAATACACCCCCGGGCATATGTATAAATATCTAAAGTAGTAGTTTTAGACCCCCATTTATTGAGGCTCCTTTTACACTAAGACCTCAAAGTCCTCTCTTTCAATATCTGACTTGCAAACAGCAGCAGAAGTTGGGTCCCGAAGTTCTTCACAGTTCTTGTTTAACTGCTCTAACCTGGGTCAGTCCCAGGTAGTGAAGACCTGTGGTTCTTAACCAATGGGCTGTGGCCAGGTACTGGGCCACAGCCTTCCTCCAGCCTGGTCCTGGTTTCTTGTGTGCTTTGACAATGAAACTGTAGCTGTTGGAGCAGATGGGGCAATGCCTTGGCAGAATGTCACCGTCCTGCACTCCTGCTGGCAACTAGAGTATAATTGTGGGGTCCTTCTGGCCAGCTCTGGTTACCCTGGGTATCTGACAGTCCCAACAAAGTCCTAGCACCCCAGGCTCTGGCAGGCACACATTCCAGGTGCCAGCGGGAGTGCAGATTGGTGTGGACCTCAGTGTCATTAGATGCTGTTGATGCCTACCGGTGCAAGCCTGAGCCTTTGACACTGCAGTACATCTGCAGAATATCTTCAGTATATTCAACTTTCACCTCATTTTCCTTTTTTGCAGATCAGTTATGCCTCAGCCCTCCCAACATTGGCTGATAAGATCCAATTCCCTTCTTTTGTAAGGACTGTCGGTACTGTAGACTCGCAGCCTGTGGCGGTGGTCCAGATGATCATGCATTACAATTGGACTTGGGTTGGCATAGTGTCCTCCAATAATGACTACGGAGACCAAGGCAGCCAGAAACTGAGGACAGAAATGGCTAAGAGAGGCATATGTGTTGCGTTCGCCAAAACCTTACCAACACCGCCAACCAAGGAAAGCCTTGACGGCGTCATCAGTGCCATACACAAAACAAAAACCAACGTCATTGTCCTCTATGCTTATGCCACAGAGCTGATTCCTTTCTTTCAGGCCATCACTGTCAGCAAAATAATTGGAAAAATTTGGATTGCTGTCGGAAGTTGGCTGCCCTCAGCCGTCTTTACACAAAAGGAACTGTGGGCAACGCTTTACGGCACCATCGGTCTCGCTAAGTACAGCTCAAATATTCCCGGTTTTAAAGACTTTCTTTACACTATAAATCCTGACAAATATCCAAATGACATATTTATTAAGGAATTCTGGGAGCAGGCCTTTGGATGTAAGTGGAGGGAAAATTCATCAACTTATGGAGTCAATACAACCTTCTGCTCTGGTAGAGAGGATTTGAGGAAACTGGACAGCTCTGTGTATGACACAAACAATTTTCGTCTGTCCGTGTCTGTTTACAATGCTGTCCATGCCGTTGCCCATGCACTACATGATATGATGTCATGCAAGTCTGGAAAGGGACCATTTTTCAATGGATCTTGTGCCAACTTCAGGGACTTTCAACCATGGCAGGTACGTTAAATTCAATAACCTTCAAGTTATAAAAAATATTTTACAAACAAATAACTATAGTTAAGTGCTGTCATAGCAGCTTGGAAGATGTACACAGTTTTAGTTACTGATGATCAAAGGGTGCAAATGCCATTAAGAAATGCCATGAGGTATACCAGCATTGACCCCAGAACCTAGTAGTTCACTGCTGTACACCATGAAAGTTTTATTCCTTTAGAGCAGCCATTCCCAACCAGGGTTCTATGAACCCTGAGGTTCCTCCAGAGTTTGCTGGGGGTTCCTTGAGCTGTGACTGAGTGATGTTTGATTTGCCATGGTGTAAAGTGCTATCATAGCAGCTTGGAAGATGTACACAGTTTTAGTTAGTGACGATCAAAGGGTGCAAATGCCATTAAGAAATGCCATGAGGTCTACCAGCATTGACCCCAGAACCTAGTAGTTCACTGCTGTACACCATGAAAGTTTTATTCTTTAGAGCAGCCATTCCCAACCAGGGTTCTATGTAACCCTGAGGTTCCTCCAGAGTTTACTGGGGGTTCCTTGAGCTGTGACTGAGTGATGTTTGATTTGCCATGGTGTAAAGTGCTATCATAGCAGCTTGGAAGATGTACACAGTTTTAGTTAGTGACGATCAAAGGTTGCAAATGCCATTAAGAAATGCCATGAGGTCTACCAGCATTGACCCCAGAACCTAGTAGTTCACTGCTGTACACCATGAAAGTTTTATTCCTTTAGAGCAGCCATTCCCAACCAGGGTTCTATGAACCCTGAGGTTCCTCCAGAGTTTACTGGGGGTTCCTTTGTGCTGGTGACCTTTGATTTCCATGGTGTAAAGTGCTATCATAGCAGTCATGTACAGAGTTTTAGTACTGATCAAAGGGTGCAAATGCCATTAAGAAATACCATGAGGTCTATGCATTGTGTACCTAGTAGTTCACTGCTGTACACCATGAAAGTTTTATTCCTTTAGGCAGCCATCCCACAGGGTTCTTGCCCTGAGGTTCCAGAGTTTCGGTGCTTGAGCTGTCCTAAGTGACCTTCATTGGATGGTGCCTGCATAGTTCCAGGGCCAATACCACTTTGAGAGCCATCTGCATGAACCCAATGATCATTTTATCTCTCTCTGAGGGTGGCATTCTGACATTCTTTTTTCATTGACCACCAATGAATTGGTCATTGCAAGAGTTTCCTGAGATCTTAAGATAATTTAAAGGGTTCCTCTGCGCTAAAAAGGTTAAGAAAGTCTTTGTTAGAGTCTATCTCCAGGCACATGAAGTCTCCCATCCAAATCCTCCCTGTTCAGTCATCATGCACCTGATGGGTCACCATCTCTTTCCTGGATTGACTTGTGGAATCACGTAAATCCTGGTGCCCATGCAAATTTTGGCCTTTTCCCTTGTAACTTGCAGATTACAATGCTGCACTCTGAACACTGAGGGAGAGGAGATTGAGGAAATGCTTCCTCCTGCCTGCAGCAGACCAAAGACATTATCTCAACCTGGGCAAAGTTACATACTTGGACCATAGACATTTTTTGCTGTAAATGGCAGGAATTTGTCAACTCAAAACCTAGAGAAGGTCAGCACAACAAAAATGTCAAGAAACGATAATGTGCTTTTATTGAAAAGAACACTTCCATTTGTGTTTGGAGGTTTTCTCCGTAGTAATGGCAATTCCACCAAAATCAAAAGATTTAATTCCACCGAAGCTTAGGCGCTGTCTAATATCTGATGTAACCTTTCTTCTAAGCTTTTCCACTACGTGAAGAATGTCCAGTTCCTGAACAGCAATGGAGAGAGGGTGGCGTTCGATGAAAAAGGAGAACTGAAGGGGCTCTACGATGTTCTGAACTGGCAGATGTCTCAGGATCTGAAGGGAGGACTGGTCAAAGTTGGAATCTTCGATGACTGGGGCCCCAATGGACAGAAGCTGGTTGTAGATGAGAAGGTCATCACATGGGGAGAGAAATACACACAGGTAACGGAGAACTTTGGGATAACATTTACCGCCTTTAGTTCTAATATACACCGATCAGCCATAACATTCTGACCACGGACAGGTAAAGTGAATAACAGTGATTATCTCGTTACAGTGGCACCTGAAAGTGGGTGGGATATATTAGGTAGCAGGTGAACATGTTGTCTCTGAAGTTGATGTGTGGAAAGCAGAAAAACTAGGCAATTGTAAGGATTTGAGGGACTTTGACATGGACCAAATTGTGATGGCTAGATGACTGGGTCAGAGCAACTCCAAAACTGCAGCTCTTGTGAGATGT